AGACTGGAATTCTGAGAAGCACAGGAATTCCTACTTTCTGCCCAGGTTTTTGCTTCATTAGAAATGAAATAACAGCTGCATCGGTACCCAATCCACTTCTCTGGACAAGAACAGCAGTCAGAATCTAAGGGAAAAAATCAAACATGATTGACGACACTGAGCATTTCAACATTTCAATGCTATCTACTCATTCAAAAACCATTTGTTGTCTTTTCATTTTTTCTAGAAATATTCTGAGAGTCTAAAATAAATGTACACATGTGACTAAGTCAGATATGACCTTTTTCCTCAGGGAGATCATATTCTAGAGACAGAGTTGGAATTATACAATTTCCAATCACTTATTAATTTAATTCAGTAATAATTTTGGTAGGTACGCAGAAGAAATTTCATATATTAAAACGGTGTGCAGCAGAACATGAAATGGAGGAAGTTAGAAAAATCTTTTGTTTGTTTTTTTTAACAACTGAGCCAAAGCTGAGCTAAGCTGTGTAAACAGGAGTTAAATAAATCAAAACCAAACCAAACTCAGTGCGGTCGAGCTGATTTTGACTCATAGCAACTTATATAGCACAGAGTTGATTTGATAACTCATAGGATTTACAGGGCTGTAATCTTTACGGAAGTAGACATCCACATCTTTCTCCTGTGGAGCAACTGGTGGGTTCAAATTGCCGACCTTTAAATTAGCAGCTGAGTGCCTAACCACTGTGTCACCAGGGCTCCTTCAATAAATCAGAGAGAGATTTAAATGGCAAAAGCATTTTAGCATATTTCCTAAGTCCAAAAAAAAAAGAAAGAACCCAATGCATTGGTGCAATTCTGATATACATGTTTTTTCAAACATCAAGATAAATAAAGCAATTAACATGAAGTCTGATAATGCAGGTCATCAGAGATAGTGTCTTCAGGGTTTCTTATCCTCAGCGATAAAAGTCATGGCACATGGTAGTCATTCAAACGGTCACCAATGAATGGCTCCAAAGTTAAAATATGAACGAAGTTCTATAAAGTTGCAGAAGGTGAGGAGGGTCTAAGAAACAACATTTAAGAATGTCTGACTCTCACTGGATAAGTAGGATTTAGGATTGCAGAAATGTGAGCAGTAATTTCTGAGTCCCAGGTTCCAGCAGAAGCAAATGTAAATAGATAGGAAGGTATGGCCTAGGAGCAAAGCCAGGCGGGTAATCAGGATTAGCTCTAATATGTACTGTTGTTTTATTCTAATTTGTTGCTTAATGATGAGCATTTATATGGGAAAAAAAACTAGCTGTGTTTTCAAACTTAATATTTTCTTTATTACTTTAACATATAAGTGACGTACACTCAAAGTAATGTAATCATTTTTCCATAAGAGAACAATGGAATGAGAATGTCTTGTAACTAGGGAGGTGAACTCATATGACTGTGTAATATTCCATCAAGCCGCATGTGGGAATAACAAGAAACTGTCCATTTTTCTCTTCTACCAACAATAAGAAAACCCTGCTGGCATAGTGGTTAAGAGTTTCATCTGCTAACCCAAAGATTAGCAGTTCAAGTCCACCAATTGTTCCTTGGAAACCCTAAGGGTCAGTTCTACTCTGTCCTATAGGGTCGCTATGAGTCGGAATTGACTCGAAGGCAATGGGTGTGGTTTGTTTTTAGGGCCAACAACAAGGTTTCCAAAGCTTGGAGCCTACCTTCCTGGAGTCCACCTTCCTGGAGTCCTTTGGTGGGTCCTGGAGAGAATGCTATAAGAAATCATTAGAAATTCACATAATTAGGTTCGGACTTAAGTGTATCCATGAGATAATAAAACACAACATATCAGTAAAATGAAACCTGTCTTGCTAAATGGTTTTATCACACTTTTGATCTTTATAAAGACTTGCATAGAGAAACTCACACATTTTCACCAAAATTCCCAAAGTAGCCATCAACGAAAGACATACTCCTCCTAAGATCGCGGAAATCAGCCTCCATGGGGTGGTCTGAAAAACTGAAGAAAGCGAGAGATAAGGTGAAGACTTAAACAACAGACACAAGGATTGAATTTTTTAAAAACAGAGGTCAATTAGAACAATTCCAAAAATATTTTTTTGATTTGATAAGATAGTCATTTTGCTAATGAAACTGAAGAACTGAAACCATTCCATTGGGAACTTTAACCAACACCAATGTCTCGGCCCAGTGTCCTCTAATCTTCAGTGAGATTAGTCAGCCATTTAGTGCTCTATCAATTCTGTCTGTAGAAGACAGTAAGTACATTTACCAGTTATTTTTAAACTGGCAAAGAGCATAGAGTTCTGGAGTAAGAAGACAGCAAGAGGCTCCAACTTATGGTTTTTGAGCTTCCAGAACATTGACTTTATTCTCTCAACCAAATCACAAGGTCGAGAGTGTGATCGCCTAGGTAGATGAGAAAATTGAGAGTCCAAGAATAATGGGATTTTTTCATGGTGTCAAAGTGAGTAAATAGCCACATCAGAAAGCAAATTAAATCCTGTCCAGGCCCAGAGTCCTTCATTTAGCACATTCTGTCACT